TTACATGGGCCCTTAATATGGCTTACTGGCTCAAAACCCAACTTTTCAACTTTTGGGCTTCTCATAATATCATAAGGTAGTTTATTCTGAAAGTTTCAACTTTTATTTGCTTGGGTTTTGGGCCAGTAAGATGGTCCCGACACCTCCTTTTCCACTCAAGTGCACGTGCCTGATGCTCGGCAATCTTCGACCAGCACTGCTGACACAGCCAGGCGTGGTGGCGCTGCCTGCAGTTCCTGCGTTTAGGGTTTGGGGTGTAGGGTTTGGGGTTTAGGGTTTGGGGTTTAGGGTTTAGGGTTTAGGGTTTAGGGTTGAGGGTTTAGGGTTTAAAGAAAACAAGAGAGCCCGGGAGTCAATGTGGTCCTCATGAAAGGACTTGGCTCTCCGGGCTCACAATCTTCGAGTTTGGTGGCATCTTCTTGGAGGACGTCGAACTCATCCCACAGTTCCAAGACATGGCGGTGGGATCTGAACCCATCAAAGATTTCCCTCCACAACCCGTGCCCAACGGGGCACTGATTACCCTAAACCCTAAGCACTAAACCCTAAACCCTAAACCCTAAACCCTAAACCCTAAACCCTAAACGGGGTGAATCAACATCGGCATCCTGCTCGGACTCCGTCCTGCTCAGGTTCCACTCCACTCCACTCTCTCTTAGCTCCTTTAAAGGTTTGAGGGTTTAGGGTTTAGGGTTTAGGGTAAAGGATTCTGAAGTATGGGCCTTGGGTTGTATGGGGTCGCCTTTAAAGCCTTTGGGCACGGCTTCGGGCTCCTCCTCTCCTATTCGAAGACCGGCTCCAGGTAAATTGGGGCAGCAAACCCTACAAAAACCGAAACCCTAAACCCGAAACCCTAAACCCCTAAACCCCTAAACCCCTAAACCCCTAAACCCCTAAACCCCTAAACCCCTAAACCCCTAAACCCCTAAACCCCTAAACCCTAAACCCTAAACCCTAAACCCTAAACCCTAAACCCTAAACCCTAAGCCAAGCCGCATACGCGGACTCTCAGGTTGCAAGCCATCCCACAGACCTGCTTGTTTTCGTAGCTTACAAAAGAGCCCTGAAGAAGTTTAGGGCTCAAGGGTTTGGGGTACAAACCCTAAACCCTAAACCCTAAACCCTAAACCCTAAACCCTAAACCCTAAACCCTAAACCCTAAATTTCAAACCTTCTTAAGGTAGAAGCCCTCAAGCCGCTGGGGTGACGTCACCCAGGTGCGTGCGGGAGCTGAAGACCAAGGTTCTCAAGGTGCCTTCCGGTTTAGGGTTTGGGGTTTAGGGTTTAGGGTTTAGGGTTTAGGGTTTAGGACTTGAAAAGGGCTGTTAGGGCCGCTTCTGTTTGCGCGGTTTTTTGACGGATGCTCTGTTATAAGGCTGAATACCCTAAACCCCTAAGCCCTAACCCGCCCCTTGGCTTTTTAGTAGGCATCCCAGCTGGAGGGCTCAGAACTGAAAGCCCTAAATCCTAAACCCTAAACCATAAACCCGAAACCCTAAACCCTCGTCTTAGGGCTTCAGCTTAAGGGCTGGCTGGCTTTTGGAGCCCCAAAACTCGAAACCCATCTCCCTTGGAGTGTGGAGTTCAGGGCGTAAGGCTTCAGGGTTTAGGGTTTAGGGTTTAGGGTTTAGGGTTTAGGGTTTAGGGTTTAGAGTTCAGGGCTTAGGTGATCCTTCAGCCACTAGACTCCCATCCCGGCTTCCCCCTCCTCTCAGAAACCTCGGCGCGCGTCGAACGAGGGCGCCTGCAGGGGGCCCCAAGCGCCGTAGGCTTTGGGTTTTGGGTTGAGGCTGTTAACAAAAACATGGGTCCTTGAGTAGTAGGTAATTGAACAGTTTTTCGGGGTTGCGGGTTTGGGCAAAGTCAGGTCAGCATCTTTGGTTGAGAGTGCCAGCAAAAGCAAGCTATGACCTGGAATCGAACATCGGGGCCGAGTTAGTTGGAATAAAATGTTGAAGGTGTACTTCAGAATCGGTGTACTTCTACAGGGCATCCGAGATGATACTATTGTTTTTGTTTAGGCTCCTGCAGTAGTATATTTCTATGATTACTATGATGATGATTGTTACAACTACATTATTCATTGTGATTATTAGTCTACCACGATGCCAACCCACGTTAGTCATGTCCAAGACATCAACCCGAAAGCCACCACGCCTGAACCCCTTCAACCCATGAGCCCGTCGCTCCCGAAACCCGAAACCCGAAACCCGAACCCTGAACCCAAAACCCCCCAAACCCTAAGCCCTAAAAGCCCCTCAACCAGGTGATGCAGCCACAGCCGAGGCGTCTCGCAGAAAGGCAGAGTTCGGGTCTTCCGCCGGTTTCGAGGTCTAGGGTTTGAGGTTTTTGGGGTTCGGGGGTGTCGGGTTTAGGTTTAGGGTTCAGGGTTGTTCCCTTGAGCTCCTTCTATCATCCGGTGGGGGGTGGGGGGGTTAACCCTAAACCCTGACCCCTCAACCCTAAACCCAAAACCCCCTAAACCCTTCTAAAGTTTAGGGGCTTAAGACCGATGCATGGTTCCAGGATGGGCTTTTGGGTAGGGTAGAAGCAAAAAGTTGGAAACTCAACAGCCTCAATCCCTAAGAATAAAGCATAGGGAATCCCAGCACTATTTGTCCTTAAAAAGGTTTCCAACTTTTTGGGGTTTACTGTAGGGTATACTCGCCCAAGCTGGTTAAGGGTTAAGGGTTTTAGGATTAGGGTGTCTAGGGCTTGTGGCCTAAGATTTCTGTTAGGGAAGGTTAGAATTTAGGGTTTAGGGTTTGGGGTTCAGGGTTTAGGGTCCCTAAGCTCCCGAAAGCCCCGAAACCCTCAAGTCCCTGAAGCCCTAAACCCTAAACCCTAAACCCTAAACCCTAAACCCTGAAGCCCTAAAACGAGACCCTGACTCCGCACCTTCGCCGCAGACGACGGACCTCGTCGCGGCTCTCTCTGCTCGTGTGGAGGCCTGCTGAGGAGGGCTCTGCCCCGGCAAGGCTGTCGCCCTAAACCCTAAACCCTAAACCCTAAACCCTAAACCCTAAACCCTAAACCCTAAACCCTAAACCCTAAACCGCCGTCGTAGTCCAAGAGCCCAGACCCTCCTCAACCCCCCAAAGCCGACCGAACCTTTCAGATGCCTTGCATGTGCAGCAGTGCAAATTTGAGAGGCGCAGGTAGACCCGGGTTTAGGGTTTAGGGTTTAGGGTTTAGGGTTAGGGTTTAGGGTTTGGGGTTTGGTGTTTATTTAGGGTTTAGGGTTTAGTGTTTAGGTAGACCCCAAAGCCTGAACTCCAAACCCCAAGCCGATGCAGAAACCCTATGCCCCACAGCCCCAAACTCCAATAAAATCCCACAGGCCCCATGCCCCCAGCCCCGAAACCCCAAATTCCGAAACCCTAAACCTCAAAACCCGAACCCAAACCCCACTCCTTAACCCCTCAACCCCAAGCTGTACACCCAAACCCTAAACCCCAAACCCTAAATCCCCCGTCAGGCTGCCGAGTCCACGTCGCAGCTCCTTCGCTCATGCCTTGGCGCAATGTATAGGGTGTGGTGTGAAGGGGCTAGGTTTAGAGTGTGTTGAGATTCTCGGATTTGTGGTTGCGGGATGTGTAGGCTCTGCCGGGCTTCGCATCTGGGGTTTGGTCCAGTGAAGCCCCGCGCTCTCCAGGGTGGGACTTGTGCCTAAAGCTACCAGAAGTCTTTTTGCCCTTTTGTTTGGTTCAGCGTTCCCTTACAAACTAGGATGCCCAGTAGTGCCCTTATTCCCTTTTCGGGGGGTTTAGGTTCCCTTATAAACCCCTTTAAGCAAAAAAGGGCACCCTTTTTAATCCCAGGTTACTGGGCAACCCAGCAAAGTAACCAACCCGAAAAAGGGTACCCTTAGTATCATCTGGGTTCCTGGGCGAGCAAGTGTTTCCCCGTCTTCAACCGCACAGCTGGAAGCACATGCCCCATAAACCCTGAACCCTAAACCCTAAACCCTAAACCCGAAAAAATGAGAAGAGCCTTTCAGGTCTGGTTGAGCATTTCAAGGACTCCTTGCAGCACTGGCCGGAGGAGTGGCGGCTGCAGAATAGGGTTACGGGTTTACTTAGGGTTGAGAAATTCCGGGGGACAAGGGTTTTGGGAACCAGGGTGGTCTTACACCTAGCAATCGTTGCTCCAAGCCCTCGTTCCTAACAAGGACTCAGTGTTATCCTTGGTTTCGGTTCCCAGACCCCACTAAGCAAAGCATAAGGTTTTGGGAACTGGGAAGCCACAAGAACAGTGACCTTCATCAAGAGACCTGACCTGAGTGTAGCTAGCTATGGCATCGTGCCATCGCCACATCCACTTGTGCTCGGAGGCGCCTACAACCAATTTCGCTGGAAGATTGCTCTTTGGTTTCGGTAGGGTTTACTGTGTGATGTTCTGGTCCCATGAAAGGAATGAGTAGGATGACAGAAGGGTTTAGAGGTCTCAGGGTTACTTCGGATCCTAGCGTAGCCAAGACCGAGGTTTCACTGCTGACTTTTGGCTTTTGCTACGGTCGGGGCTCACTTTCAATTGCGCGAGGACCAGCACCGCCACCTGTCTCCGGTGCTAGAGGCATGCGATGATCAGATGGAATGGGGGATCTAGCTTCAAGTTTGGGCGCTCGTCGACTGACGATTTCGGGTAGAGTATGTGCCTACAACCCAAAGGCCCTATTCCTGACCGAACCCGAAGCCCAAGCCACGCTAGGTTCAAACGGTTTGGGTTCTTAAGGTACGAAAAGAGAGACCCCATAGTGTGTCCCGAATACTCCACACACCGCACACCTATTCTGTTGCTGAAGTGCTGTTGCGTGCATGGCTACTCAACAGCCTCCCTGAGCCAACAGCCACCACCGTTCTGGCCACGCCATGCGCTTCCTCTATAGGGAGCATGTCAGTGAACCACCACCAAGATGCAGTCAGTGACACAATCCCTAAACCCTAAACCCCTGATTCTACAATCGACGTCCTACATGTTCAGTCCGACGCCTTGGTAGCATGTCGGCCGACATGCTGCGCGTCTGGAACTTTGCAGGGCGGGAGTTGATGGCTGTGCCCGTTGCTTTGTCATAGTTGGGTAACATTTTCCATTTTTAAGGGTACTTAAACCAAGAAGAATTAACAATTACAATTTTAAATATTATCCCAACCAACCATGAACTAGGTTGAAGAGGTGAGCGATGTACGGGATTTGAAGCTTGGTATCCAGCGGTACCCGTTTGCCCGTTTTGTTGTTTCTGGGCTTCTTTATAAAGTAACCAACCCCCAAAATGGGTACTCTGATGATAATATGTATATGGTTGCTGAAATACCAAGGCTTTATAAAGTACAGTATAAACCAACCCCACAATGAGTACCCTGATGATATTCTGGGTGGCTGTCAAAATTATGGCCCCTTTTTGGGGGTACCCTAAACATTAGGTGCCGTAATATGAGAGGGATCCAAAAAGGGACCATCATTTTGACAACCACCCTAATATGATTTATGGTTCCTGAAATACCAAGGAAGAGGCGCCTGCAGCCGCTCTGCGGATTGCCGCGGTTCCGACAGAGGCTGCTACATCATGGCTTGGATCTGGAGGATGACGTTGACCTGACTGCGCCATGTCACGTGCAGCTCGTCTTGCTGCCCTTTTCGGAGGCATCCCTGGATGATCGGAAAGAACTCATCAGGGCCGCCGGCGCTGGCCAGGTGCCGGAGGTCGAGCTGATCCTGCAGCGACCGCAGGATCCGAACCTGGCGCATGAAGGAGACGCGTCCACGCCCTTTTCAACGCCGCTGCTCCTGGGTAGCCCAGTGGCCACCCTTTTGCCCTTTTTTTGATTCAAGGTTCCCTTATAAAGCAACCAACCCAAAAAAAGGGTGCCCTTATCACAATCTGGGGGATTCCGAAATTAGGGATACCTTGTTGGTGTCCTCCTTTGTCCAAGGGAATGCTGCTATTTCGGGGGTCTATTTTAGGGTTCCTAAACCCTAAACCCTAAACCCTAAACCCTAAAACCCCATATGGTTATTGGGCTCCCAAGGCTCCAATCATCATTCCGCGGTGACTTGGACGTGGTTCGTTTGCTGATTGAGGCCGGCGCCGACGCGAATCTGGGGTTGACTCTGGAATTGATTTTCAAGCAAGCTCTGGGCCCGAAGCCCCACCTAGTCCTTATCCAACCCTTCATAAACGGGTTTAGGGTTTAGGGTTTAGGGTTTAGGGTTTAGGGTTTAGGGTTTAGGGTTTAGGGTTTCATATAAAAAAAAAACCGCCACCCCAGGAATCAGGCCAGCTGCCAGGGGCATGGAGAGACTCCCCTCTTGTTGGCCTCGTATCTCGGTAGGCCCTTGGGACATTTTGTTCTTTCCCCTTATTGTGTTTTACAGTGGCCCTAAACCCCAAACCCTAAACCCTAAACCCGGAATATGTTGCAGAGGGTTTTAAGGGGCCTTCCGAGGACTTTTGGCCACCTGAACGTGGTGCGGTCTCTACTGGAGGCGGGCGCCGAGGTTGACAGGCAGGTCAAAGGGCTGACAGCTCTGTGGGTGGCTTCTCAGAGCCTTGGTATGCCTTGGAGGTCTTCAAACGCTTCACTCTAAGCCCTTAAGCCCTAAACCCTAAACCCCAAAAACCCTTAAACCCTAACATTTCCCTCATTGGGGTTAAGAGGATCCGTTGCAGGTATTTGTTCAAGGAGGTTTTAAGGGCCACTCGAGGAGGGGACACGTCCAGATTGCGCGCACACTCCTGGCGTGGGGATCGGACGCCCGGAAGGCCAACAGCAATCTGGAATCACCTCTCTGGGCAGCTTGGTAACAACAAGTATTGTTCCCCTGTGGTCCCTTTCTCTTTGTGGTGCTTTACTGTAACTTTAGATCCTTAGCCTTCTTGGGCTTACTGGGTTTCTTAATAAGGCAGCTAAAAGTTCAATTTTTAGCTACCCTCCTAAGTGCAGCCAAGTTCTAATTCTACTTTAGGAACCCCCCAAAAGACCCTCTTCGAATTCTTATGGCCCCTACAGCAAGCTGGGTAGCTTGGTAGCGCGGTGGTGCCTTTTTGGTTCTAGGTGTCCTTATAAAGTAAACAGGGTACCCGCATTACTACAACATGGCTCATGGGCTACCAAGGTAGCTGCCGAGCAGGGTCATGTGGAGATCGTTCAGGAGCTGCTCCTGCACGGCTGCGCGAAGAATGCCCGGAATCGCCGTGGCGAAAGTGTTCTCTGGGTCGCCTGCCAACACGGCCGGCTGGAGGTAGTTCCTTGGGCTAGCCCAGTGGTGCCCTAAACCCTAAACCCTAAACCCTAAACCCTAAACCCTAAACCCTAAACCCTTTTTTCCCCACAAAAGGGTGCCCCTGTTGCAACATGGGTTGCTGGCCTGCCCAGGTTCAGATCTTGCTGCAAGCCAGAGTCAGCACCGGCCAAACGGACGATTCTTCGTAGCTGAACGAGCTTTACACCTTTTTGGTATACAAAAACATTCGCTATAGAACTGAAAAGTGTGCACCTTTTTGGGATACTAGAATCTGAAAGTGTACACGAGTTTGGATACTAGAATCCCCTAATAGAACTGAAAAGTGTACACTTCTTTGGGGGGCTTCTGAACTCAGCAACTAAGGATTGCTGGCAGCGCTCGCCTCTTTGGGTGGCAAGGCAGCTCCAGCATGTGGCTATATCCCCCTTGGGAATCATGTTTTGAAATTTTTTGTTCATATAAATCCCAAGAGGATATTAAAACTATTATTATTATTCTTCTTATTATTATTCTTCTTCTTATTATTATTCTTCTTCTTATTATTAAGGTTCTAATGGGGAGTAGAGGTGGAGATCGAGCGAATGCTGCTCGAGTCCGGCGCGCGGAGGTGAGGGCAAGTTGCGGCTCAACACCTTCGAGAGCTCAGAATTGAGCCTTGGTAGCCCAGTGGTACCCTTTTTAGGGTTTAGGGTTTAGGGTTTAGGGTTTAGGGTTTAGGGTTTAGGGTTTTGTTGCTTCAAGGTTCCCTTTAAAAAAGCAACCAACCCCCTAAAAAAAAGGGGGGTGCCCTTCTTATAATATATGGCTACTCGGGGTACCTCCAGGAGCTCTGGCCGTCCCCGACTTTTGGCAAGTTGGCGCACCGGAGCTCGGAATTGAGCACTTGCTGCTCGACATGGGGGCGTTTGCGAAAGTAAGGGACCCCGAAGAAAGTCTCCCCCCCAAAATGGTAGGATCCCCGTTTTAATAAGGACCCCAATAAGGTGCCCCTAATTTCGGAAACCCCCACATAGGGGCTCAGAACTGAGTCCTGACTGTTCGACTTTTCAGGTCGATGTTGGAAGTCGGCATGGATCCTGTGGCGTAGTTCTCCAAGTTAGGGTCCGTCAATGGGTATCCATTATAAGACGGCACCCGTTAAAAGGGGATCCCAGAAAGAGACGATAATTTAAAGAACTGCCCATGTGCTGCTCGACTTTGAGAGAATGGCCCACGGCCACTTGGAGAGACAAGTGCCTCGTGATTGCGGCACTGCGCCCTGAACCCTGAACCCTGATCCTAGACCCTCAACCCTAACCCTGAACCCCCAAACCCCCAAACCCCCAAACCCCCAAACCCCCAAACCCCCAAACCCGAAAACCGAAACCCTAAACCCTAAACCCTAAACCCTAAACCCGAAACCCGAAACCCTAAACCCTAAACCCTTAGCTGCTGACCAGCGCTAGACTCGGGCTGTCGTGGCCCAGCGAAGATGCTTCGATGGCAGCGGTCTTTCCGGGCCTTTGGGGCTCATGGAGTTTAGGGTTTAGGGTTTAGGGTTTCGGGTTTCGGGTTTTGGGTTCATACTACGGGCCCTTGAGCCTTACAGGCTGGGAATTCGACATCCGTAATGTCGGCTTAGAAGAGGCGTGTATATGTAGGGGGTTTAGATCGATTAGAATTCGGGTTCCATAGTTTCGGTTTCCGACGGGCGTTTATATGCAGGGGGTTTAGAATCAGGGCTATATAGCTAGGGCTTCGAACCAATTCAATAAGGTCTATAAATGGGGTGTAGGGCTAGGGACAGACGAGGGTCTGGGTGTACCTTAACCCCTAAACCCTACATACCCTAAAGCGAACCCAAAGAGGGGTTTAGGTTAGGGTTTAGGTGTTTAGGGTTCAGGGGGAAAGCCCGCAAGCCCGGAAGCCGTGTCTGTCCAACTGGAGTCTCTGCGCGATGCAAGGATGCATTATCGGCGCTTGCGTGGCTTGTGCGAGGATTGTCCTGGGGTTTAGGGTTTAGGGTTTCTTGTTTAGGGTTTGGGGCTTAGGGTTTAGGGTTAAGGGTTAAGGGTTTAGGGTTGAAGTTCGATGGGGCCCGAATCCCTACATACCTCACATGGGCATGGGGGTTTACGAAAATAAGGGGACCTCTTAAATAGACCCCCAAATAGTAGGATTCCCTTAAAATAAGGACCCCAAAAAGGTACCCCTAATTTCGGAAACCCCACATACACAGCCCATAGCAATTCAGATGTGCGCCCTAAGCCCTGAACTTTAGGGTTTAGGGGTTTAGGGTTTAGGGTTTAGGGTTTAGGGTTTAGGGTTTAGGGTTTAGGGTGTTTTAGCAGATCCGTGAGCAGTCTGTGGGCTGCGTCAAGAGACAGTGCAGTTCGGTTTAGGGTTTAGGGTTTAGGGACTGACACAACATAATTCAATCAACCTTCAGCCCTAACCCCTAAACCCTAAACCCTAAAGTCCCCAGAATCTCTTGGTGCCCCACTTTTCAGTTGCGGTCGCGGCACTCAAAGTGGCTGCGAAGCAGTGCGAAGCAGTGCGAAGCAGCGAAGCTGCCGAGAGAGTCGGTACTGTAGGCTTTCATATTTTCCCTTCTCGGGCTCTTGGGTCGGCCCTTGTGATCTTTCATGTTTTCCCTTATTTGGGTCTAGGGCTTAAGGTTTTGGAAGTCGGGTTGAGGGGCCAGGGTTGAGGGCACAGGGTTCAGGACTACATACTGTCTCCGAGGGTTTAGGGTTTAGGGTTTAGGGTTTAGGGTTTAGGGTAAGGGCTGTTAAGGTTCTTCGGGGAGTATTGCTATGGGGTTTAAGAGGATTGCTGCGGAAGGGCTGCTCCGAGTGACCGTGGGTTTAGGGTTGAGGGTTTAGGGTTTGGGGTTTAGGGTTTAGGGTTTAGGGTTTAGGGTTTAGGGTTTAGGGTTTAGGGTGCTTAGCAGGAGGTTGCTCTTCGGAGCATGTTTTCATGGGGCACTGGGCCCCTAAAGTTGTCCCAGTGGGTTTGGGGAAGCGTTTTAGACAAGCCTTTAAGGGAATATCAGGGCCGTATTCGGGGTATCTCAAAGGAAAACCCTAAACCCTAAACCCTAAACCCTAAACCCTAAACCCTAAACCCTAAACCCTTAGTTCGTCCGAGTACGCTTTCCTTTGACTTGCCAGCCCAGTGGTACCCTGTACCCTTTTTTTGGTTCTGGGTTCCCTTATAAAGTAACCAACCCCCAAAAAGGGTGCCCTTACTATATTATGGTTACTGGGCTACTAAGTGACGTGATGTTTTCAGACGTGTTCTCCAAAAAATGGTGTGTGTTGGGTCTGATTCTAAGGCGGCCCCGCTTTGTTTAGGGTACCCAAAAAGGGACCATATTTTAGAGAAGGGACGTTTAGGGTTCGGGGTTTAGGGTTTAGGGTTTAGGGTATAGGGCCATGTGTGCTTCTGGGCCAACCTTTGAGTGTGGAAGTGTTCGTGCAGTAAGAATACCGGGCGACAACGTGAGCGCCCTGGAAAGTTGGGGCTACGCCTTAAAAGCGGGCAGCGCCACGCTTTAGGGTTTAGCCCGATTCTCCATACCCGAAAGGTTTAGGCTTTGGGGTTTAGGGTTTAGGGTCTAGGGTTTAGGGTTTAGGGTCTAGGGTCTAGGGTCTCCATGCGTCATGCCAACATTTCGGGCAAACAGCTGCCGCCCTTTGCACTAAATTCAAACGGCGAATTTTAAGGAGCCCGCAACCTAGACCCAATGTCGCGGTACAGAGCGCAGCAGAGCTCAAATGCGGAAATCATGCGAAGACTCGAGAGTCTCGTCAAGGGCGAGGTCACCGAGCATGTGTCTCCTCTTTTCTGGCAATCAGAACGGAGATGGGTTGAGATTGCCTCTATCTACTCACACGCCTTGTCTCGTAAAGGCCCATGGAACGTTTCGCAAGCCTAGCTTAGAGTTTTAGGGGCTGAGGGGTTTCGGGTCACAATTCTCTCCTCGTGTGCGTTACGAGAAGGTGTAATTAGTAGCTACAGAATTTGAGGGTGCACCATACACGAGGCACCCATACTGTACAGAAGCAAGATAGGGGTCGGAGTAATTACGAGTAGTCTTCCCTTATGGTCCCTTCAGTATTGTACTATGATAACCCCCAACAAAACCCTCCGACCCCTGTATTATGCACACCATTGCGATGGACGACTTCTGCTTTTTGCGCGGAGCCCGTGAATCATGCAGATGCTCTCTTGGAGACTTCAGGACCCAGAGTAGGCCCTTCTTCCCTTTTCTTTAGGGTTTAGGGTTTAGGGTTTAGGGGTTAGGGTTGTAGCCCCTTCTTCCCTTTTCTTTAGGGTTTAGGTTCCCCCCACAAGCCCCTTTAATCCAAAAAGGGTACCCTTTTTTATTCCCAGGCTACTCTTGGGTCTAGATTCCCCGAAACCCTAAACCCTAAACCCTAAACCCTAAACCCTAAACCCTAAACCCTAAACCCTAAACCCTAAACCCTAAACCCTCTTCGTGGGCGTCCTTCTAAAACCCCCAAACCCCTAAACCCCCAAACCCCTAAACCCCTAAACCCCTAAACCCTAAACCCCCAAGGCAACAGAGGCCAACACACATTTGCCTGAGCCCTGAGCTCCTAAAGTTTTAAACCCTAATCCCTAGACCCTAAACCCTAAACCCTAAACCCCAAACCCTAAACCCTAAACCCCAGCTAGGTTGGCCCTTGGGAACATTTGTTCCTTTCAATTTCCCTTCTTTGGGTTCAGAGGATCATAATCGTCGTAGTTGGGTGACATGTTACATGTTTAAGGGTACTTAAAACCCAATAAGGAATAGACATTTAAATTTTTAATACTAGCCCAACCATGAACTAGTCAGATTCAGGAATATTTTTCAGAGGGTTTTAAGGGCCATCCAAGCCCGACGCTGCAGGCCGCCGACAGCCGGATGGAAGCTCTGAAGAGGGAGGAGGCGCGCTGGGATAGGGTTCCCATTTAGGGTTTAGGGTTTAGGGTTTAGGGTTTAGGGTTTAGGATGTTCCCTTATACTAACAGTCCTTAGTAGGGATTAAAAATCCCTACTAAGGACTGTTAGTGTAGGAGGGGAAAGGTGAACATCCCAAGTTCTAAGGTTTGTGGTTGAGGGTTCAGGGTTTAGGTCTTGAGATTAGGTTCGGCCCTGCACCTTCCACACTGTCGTCGCAGGCGCTTCTGCGTACTAGGCCTCCTTTAAACGGGGTTAGGGTTTAGGGTTTTGAGTTTAGGGTAAACCCTAAACCCTAAACCCTAAACCCTAAACCCTAAACCCTAAACCCACCTGAATCCAGCCTTGGTTGAAGGAGTTGGGCTCCGGATATACTGTGGAATCTGGTTTCGGCCACATCTTTGCGTCCCAATACCCGAACTGTAAATGCTTAAGCTCCTACTTCTAGGAGGGCATGCTGCAGGTGGGTTTGTGGTGCGGAGTTTCGGGTAGGCCTGTGGGGTGTGTGTGTGTGTGTGTGTGTGCCGGTTTTTTTTTCTTTCTATCTGCCGCCCGAAATGCCCTATGCAACCCTACACCTACAACCTACGACGAAGCTAAACTCAAGCACAGGCTGCGCTCAAGGCCGCGCAGGAACGAGAGGCGAAGACGCTGTGCGCA